GACCTGATTAGCCGGGAGGTGTTCATTAAACTCTCGGCTAGCCTGGAAGAATGTGACGACGGCTCCCCCAAGTAACTCTGCTTTCTTTCTATTCTCTTGTGCATACATATTTTCATATGTCCCCATTTACTAAGTCATTATTGGGACTCACTGGGGGATCCAAACAACAAGTTAGATTCAATTAGTCAAGGTTACTAATTTTAGATGAGGATTTTTGTAAGTGATTTTTGTAAGACACTAAAGTCGAAATGCTTTCTACATATGTAGACATGGTGCACTTACAGTAAAAGCAGTTGCCAATACTATCTACCTACCAGGATTACCATACTCTGTACCATTTTACTAGGGATAATAAAAGAAAGGATTTTTGGTGAGGTATTTTAATCACATGTATGAACACAAACTATGGAGCAATCCATATGAAATTTATTAATGACTAGCGGACGTACCGGCTTCGCCCGGGTTTTACCAGAGTAAAGGTTTGTCTAACGAATCTCTCAATAAAGTGAACATTTTATCCCGGTCCCTTGAAAAATACTCGATTAGTTGAATAAAATCAATATTAATTGGTTCCCTCGGTAATTGGAAGTTAAAGGAATAGTATCTTGCCTTGGAATTGTATCATTATTCTTGTCTCAAATAAATTGCCGTGTCATCCTGAATTTTGTCTTTCCTAATTTTCTACATTACAAAATCATCGTATCATCATGATAATATTTAGGGAAGATTGTTGAATTATAACAGATAAATTAGAATATTTATCTTGATTATTTTTAGGCGAAAAGTTATTTCAAAAATTTTATTTGCTAGAAACCTTCCCAGTACTATACTAAATAACTTCCCAAAGTTTCATGGCATTCCAATGAGTGGTTTGGTCAGGCATAAAGGACAGACAGACACACATACATTCATTTATATATATATATATATATATATATATAGATAACTAGCTTATTTTGGATAAACATTTTAATTAAGATTCTCTGATATTTAAACAAGGCTGGTTGCCCATTATATATGTATATACAGTTAAACCTGTCTATAGCACCCCCTCTTGGGACTCACCAAAATAGGGTGCTATGTACAAGTCACTTTTAATGTAAATCGCATCGTATTATGTATTTAAAATGGGGCACTATAGAGAGGAAGTCGCTATTTAGTGGGGCGCTATAGAGAGGTTTAACTGTATATTTTTAGGACGACAAATCTTCAACAGTGCCATGGTGACAAGCAGTGTCAGTTAAACCACATGTGTGGACACCAAGAATAGCTGAGGGGGGCAAAAAGACCAGTCAAATAGGAAAAAGCTAGGTGACAGTTAGGAGTGGAGTTGTCCTCCCTGTTGTTGATGACGGCTGTTGGACAATGCTATCTGAATGTTACTTGCTTATTTTTCCGTAAATGTACAAAAGTAAATAAAGAGCAGTCGAACAGAGATCCTTCTTGATCCTGCGTTCCTTTTTGGCCATCCCTGATATGGTGGCATTAACATAACAATTAATTTCCAAATATTTATTCATGATAAAATTGTGAAAAACATATTCCATAACATTGTTAAATTACATTTTCATTTTAAAATTTCAGTTGTAAATATCCACGCTGCTGCGCACATATGTATTTGTAAATATTTCTTGTAAGATATAGTCGATGTTTTATTAAGTCTGTTGAAGAGCGATTATCGCTTGAAAGCTAGCATTTTAAAATAAAAAGAAACCCATCGTGAGAAAATATTTTTACATTTTTAAATACAGTTAAACCTGTCTATAGCGCCCCCTCTAAATAGCGCCTTCCTCTCTATAGCGCCCCCTCTAAATAGCGCCTTCCTCTCTATAACGCCCGATTTTAAATACATAGTACGATACGATTTACATTAAAAGTGACCTGTCTATAGCACCCCCTCTCTATAGCACCCTATTTTGGTGAGTCCCAAGAGGGGGCTCTATAGACAAGTTTAACTGTATGTTTCCAAAATTGCTGTGCATATATAAGGCTGTAAAAACATTATTGATACAATACAAAAGGAACCGTTATTTATTAACTAAGTGTATTAACTTTCCATTTCAGTCTGGAATAAAGATCAAAGAGACCATGTGTTGTGTGCAGGTATAATGTCCTCCAGAATGTAATCAACTGTATGCAAGTCCAATCCCAACTTGAGAGAGTGGTAATACTCCTATTTGCATATCTACTTATATAATTGCCTTATTCTGTCTGAAGCTCACGGATAGAATGCGCGCCCATTGGCTGCCGGCGAACACGTGTCCTCCCTGCCCCCCTCTAGACAACCCTGTTATCAGCTGTGTGATACATACACCTGTCTATAGCGGCCATTCTAGACAACCCTGTTATCAGCAGTGTGTTACATCCACCTGTCTATACAGACCACCCTGTCTATAGCGACCACTGACCACCCTGCCTATAGCGACCGCTCTAGACAACCCTGTTATCAGCTGTGTGATACATCCACCTGTCTTTACAGACCACCCTGTATATAGCGGCCATTCTAGATAACCCTGTTATCAGCTGTGTGATACATACACCTGTCTATAGCGGCCACTCTAGACAACCCTGTTATCAGCTGTGTGATACACCCAACTGTCTATACAGTCCACCCTGTCTATAGCGGTCACTTTAGGCAACCCTGTTATCATCAGTGTGTTACATTCACCTGTCTATACAGACCACCCTGTCTATAGCGGTCACTTTAGGCAACCCTGTTATCAGCAGTGTGATACATCCACCTGTCTATACAGACCACCCTGTCTATAGCGGCCACTCTAGACAACCCTGTTATCAGCTGTGTGATACATACACCTGTCTATACAGACCACCCTGTCTATAGCGACCACCCAAGACAACGTTTTTAAAATATATTCGCACGCGGGTAAAACCCGGGCGTTGCCCGGGCCATTCGTCTAGTGTTACATATTTGCATATGCCACACCAACAATTTATAGTTGTAAAGTTTTTAGCTATTTCTCTCTCTTGTGAAGATGCTAAACTATTGTTTGTAGTATAAACACAAGGCAATAAGACCAAATCTAAATAAATAGTGTGTGATGTTTCGATAACAGCATTGTTACCATCTGCAGACAATTACTTTTGTCTGAAGATGGTAACAATGCTGTTACCGAAATGTCATATACTATTTATTTATTTGGATTTGGTCTTATTACCTTGAGTTTATAATCTATAATCCAAATTGTGCCTTATAGTTTGTAGTGTTCTGTATACCAACATTTTCCTTATTTTTCCTTCATTGGACAACATTTTTATTTAGAAAATCTTACTAATCACTGTGTATTTAATCATTTTTTAAATATATGTTTCAAATATCATCATCTATGACAATGATAATCTCCCTATTTGTTTAATAGAAGAGAAATCAAAAGATGGAGAGAAGAGTTTCTTCCAGTTTTAAACGATTGTACAAGCTTTCGGTAAAGTCTCCTTCCAACAGGTAGAATACATACAAGATATATTGTATCTGTAGAAGGCTATCTTTCGCCCAAAAGCTTGTGCAAAGGCTCATAAATGAAAGAAACTCATCTCCCTGACTTGAGATTTCTCTTATGTTTTAACTCTGTTGAGAATGGAATTACAGTAGAACCTCCCTATAAAGGACACCTAGTTGCGGAGCCAAAGTGTCCTTTAGGGAGAGGTGTTCCTCTTACTGTAGAGTTGCTAAATAGTAAAAATGTGAATTTTGCAAATGAAAACTGTCCTTTTTAGAGAGGTGTCCGCTAAAGGGAAGTTCTACTGTATTTGGCTCTATTTCTTTTAATTTTCTCTAGGTTGAATTTCTACCATTGGTAGATTGAAGATGGTTTGAGAAGGCTTATCTTATATCTAGGTTTTTTCAACCATTTAGCCCCACCAGGTCTCTGCAACTCTTGTATTGTTCATTCTGCCTATATGGTCTGTACTTGGTTTATTCTTGGGGATGCCGTTTAACAGGACTATGCAAAGAGGCTTCTGTAACTGTAATTCATTTTACTAGTTATAGAAATGTGTTCTGTGGGATTATTAGAAATAATGCCTGGTAATTTCATTCTCAGCAGACACTATATATTCTATTGATTCATTTATATTCTGTTCCCTGATTTGGTCAGCTATGACTGGACATTTCATGAAACTTCTTTGTCTCCTAAGCCCTACCTACCTAGTTGAAGCCACAATATAATCTCTGACCATGTGTGGCAGCAACACCACCTACGCCACTACCTCCTGGTGTCAGAGCAGATGCAAATCAGCCTCAAGGACCGCAAGAGCCGGCTGGAGGCAAAGACTCTACTGATGGTGCCGGTGCGGCTGAGGTTCCTGATGGAGCACACCAAGAAGACGGGTTTCTATGTCACCATGATAGTGCTGTGTGTGGTGGACGCAGCCACCCTTGTTCTGGAGTTCACCCTGCGCAGGGTGTTCAACCTCTTGGTGGAGGGAACTGCTGTGCCTGTCCGCCCCTGGATCTGGTGGCTTCCTGTCCACTTCAATATGCTCATGCTTCTGGCTAAGGTCTTCTTCACCGTAAGTCCACCTAGCAGCTTCTGGCTAAGGTCTTCTTCACCGTAAGTTCACCTAGTGGCTTCTGGCTAAGGTCTTCTTCACTGTAAGTCCGCCTAGCAGCTTCTGGCTAAGGTCTTCTTCACTGTAAGTTCATCTAGTGGCTTCTGGCTAAGGTCTTCTTCACTGTAAGTTCACCTAGCAGCTTCTGGCTAAGGTCTTTTTCACTGCAAGTCCACCTAGCAGCTTCTGGCTAAGGTCTTTTTCACCGTAAGTTCACCTAGCAGCTTCTGGCTAAGGTCTTCTTCACCGTAAGTCCACCTAGCAGCTTCTGGCTAAGGTCCTGTTCAATTTTTACTCAGTCCGGGATAAGGGCTGTAGAAATAGGTTTAAATTATATATATTAATATATACAGTTATCAGCGTCATGCACAATTCTGTCACGTTAAGTCACGTATCAAGTTACAGTAAGTAAAAATTTAAAAATAAAAAAAAGATGCCGAAACCCGGGTTCGAACCTGGGACCTTTAGATCTTCAGTCTAACGCTCTCCCAACTGAGCTATTTCGGCTTATTTTAGTTATTTCTATAGAAGCTTCTATCTTTATAATTATGTATATTTTCAAAAAGTCAATTCACACCCCTTCGCTGGAGACCATGGGAATACTGACTAATTCATTATGCTAACATAATTATAAATACAAGTATCAGAGTCATCAACAATTCTGCCATCGTTTGCTTTTGTGAATGGAATAAATACCCAAATAGGGCCATTTCTTATAAGCATCGGTGGTTCAGTGGTAGAATGCTCGCCTGCCACGCGGGCGGCCCGGGTTCGATTCCCGGCCGATACATTTTTTTTTTTACAATTTTTAAAACTCATTTATATTATTATCCCTATATATATAAAAGTCAGCGCATGTATGTATGTATGTTTGTTTGTCAACTATACACGTCCACAATACGTAACTAATCTGACTGAAATTTTAACAGTATATAAAGTAGAATCTGGAAAAACTCTTAGTGAAAATTTCAGGTCTCTATCCCGAATATCCGTCGTGTTATTTGCAAATTTGTTCTTTCGCTCGCACCTCTAGTGGTGAAAATGGGGGGTAATACCAGCTGACCTAATGTACATGTAAAGTTTGGAGCGGGACGTTTCACAAGAGTGACATCCACGACTCCAATTTATAATTGTGACGAATAGTATTTGAATAAAAACATTTAATCGGGTAAAACCCGGGCGTTGCCCGGGTCATTCGGCTAGTATATATATATAATTAGTAGGCAGACTTCTCTGTTTATGCCCAAATAGATACAATAGGAATGGCTTCCAAAGAACATATAAACCCAATTTACTTGATTGAAATCTCTTAAATATAGATCAAAATAAACCAACAGGTTTCTGAAGATGAGTTTATTTTTATTAACTATAAAGCAATAATGCGCCATCTATATACAGCAAATAAAAACATTAAGATGCGAATGTTTCAATCAAACTTCATTGATTTCTAGAATGGATATTTCTTCCCAATATCTGTCTCCATCTGTAGTGATGTGTGTCCAGATGGCAGTAATGGGACCCACCAGATATATTAAACAAAAAATCAATTGGGCGGAATTCCTTATTCTCATCTTGAAGCTCTTGGATTTTATTTACGACGTGTTCAACCTAGTCAGCCACACTCCAAAAAACATCTGTTGGTACATGGTGATCTTTTCCTGCGGTATTATCCGTGGTTTCCTCATCTTCTTCTATCTACACTTCTGGACCTCAGTCATCCTGAAGGTCATCGATGGGCAGATCAACTACAAGATCTACTTGGCCTATCTTGCCGGCCTGATGTACATGAAGATTGAAGAGAATGCTGAGAAGAACATCGCTTTCCTTATCAACTACCCTCCCCTCATTGAGGAATACAGGAATATCTTCGGTGAGAATAGACTTCAGATTCTTAAGGAACTCTTGAGGATACAGGAAAAACATCCCGAGGTGGTGCAAGGAGCCAAGACTCTGATGGCTACCCAACTTGTCTTCATTGACATTCGGAATGAGCTTGTGGAAAGGAAGAACCAAGGGCTAATTGATAAGACTGTGTATAATATGATATTCCAGTTGCTGGAGAGGCCAATCCACTTCCTGAAGTTTACCCCATCTACCGTGTCAAGTGTGAAGCCAGGAGTTGACCAGTTGTTGTCTCAAATGGTCTGGCTCCCCAGTACTACAGCAGTCAACTACCTCAAGCCACTCCTGGTTTTCCACACCTTCAAGGCCAACGCTGTGATCCACGAGCTTGATACCAGGCCTAGAGGAGTGCACATCATCAAGAGTGGTATCGTCAGGGTGAGCGGGATAGTCCATCGCTCTACTCGGTCTGAAGCCCTCCCCAATGTGGAAACCTTCAAGTATTTTGAGAGCCAGGATCATTGCGAAGAGTTCCTGACCATTGGACATTCCTTAGGACTGATTGGGTTGATAAGCATCCTGCCTTTGTCTACCAGGGCTGTGGCGGAAACAGCTGTGGAAACCTTGTTCATCCCAGGGTCTGCTCTACGTAGTGCCATCGATCACTTCCAGAGTCCCCCCAGTCTGGTCTACCAGGTCTGGAAGGTAGTGGCCATCAAAATCGCTCTACCCATCCTCTCCAACCAGCCTCACTATAAATCCTGGAGTCAGGAGAAAATAAAACTTCACCTTGAGAACGGCATCATCCCAAACCTCAGCCGGGTGGATTTCTTCGATTGTACTGACAACCTCATTGATCTGATCCTTATTCAAGGCCACGCATTCAACGTAACAACCAAGGAAGAGTACTTCTGCCCCTGCTACATCCCCAGGAACATCAAAAGTCTCCACTTTATCTCCTCCAATCCTCTCATCAGCCTAATCGTACTCCTTATCCCATCAGAAGAATACTTACTTCCTGATCAGTACCAGTGGAAAGAGCCGCCATCTTCCATCTCCGGAAACTACTTCAAAACTCCCAGCAATTCCAGTTTCACCTCCTCCTACAAAGGTTTTCCCAACCAGAAGTTTAAGAAGGACTTGAGAGAGAAACAAAAGGTAGATGATCAACTCTTCATCATTGAAGAAGATGACGATATTGAAGATGGCAGCAATCTAAGTGAAACCTCATCCCTCTTCTATGAAAAAGCACCTTTCAATATGACCAAAGCGTCCAAGTCACCCTCCACTGACTACATCCATATCCATGCCAAACACGAAGAGGAAGATGTTGAGCCAGTAACCCAAGATTATGACACGACGGAAAGACCTTCCATCGAACAGTCCTTAATATATGACCGTCCATCCAGGAGAATGAGAAGTTCTGCAGATATGTACAGCAATGAGCTGGAGAGAGATGTCTTGGTGTCTCATTACTCTCAGCCTCGCTTCCCCCTAGAACACAGCCTCAAACTGGAAGATCTTTCTTCAGCGGGCAGCAGCTTTGACAGCGAATATAGAATGAGGAGACATCCTAGCTTTTATAAGGATCCAACCAGATCCTTTTTTGAACCAGAGACTCACCAGGAATCCCTGGAAAATCTTGAGCCAACACCGCAGAGTTCTCTCATCACTCAGCTCTTCGGACAGCTCGATCTCGACGAGATTGAAACAAGTTTGATCGACCTGGAAACAGAAGATCATCTCAAACCGCCATTTCTGGATGATGAAGCCATCAACGCCAAACTATACCAGGTACCACCAGATCCTCTTACCTCCAGGCAGTATACTGAGAACAGGGACTCAATGGCCAGCGAATCACTACTCTTTTCAGGATCTTTTTTTTCTGACGATGAAAATACAGATCAATAAGGACCATTTTTCAATCGTGAGAATAAAAATACGGTAAAGTTTTGATAACGTTTTAAAAACGCAAAACACTCAGACAACACCAAGCAACACTAACAAGATTTAGAACAGGCCATCTCAAAATAACAATATAACAAAATCTACCCCACTTGTCCAAAATGTAGCTTGGCACCTGCTGCTCCAGAACACATTTTGGCTTGCATTAGATGCACTAAACAGGACCTTTGGAAGAGGCCACTGCCTTTCATCAACAGCTTTAGGAGCATGGACTCATGGAATTCGTGTAATCTTTGTACAAGGGGATAAGAAACAACAACAACATTGATGAGCTCTACTTATCCCCATAAAACATTTCAAGATTCACCAACTCAATAACTTTTTTTATTATCCCTAAGTACATGTGATACAGGCCATGATAATCATGGTGGGTAGAAGTTAGCGACTGCTTTTACTGTAAGTGCACCACATGTCTATACATATGAAAAGCAGTTAGACTTTTGTACTTAAAAATGTGCCAGATCCCCTTTTGGTTACTTTCACTCGCTGATGGGGTTGGACTTTTGCAGGAATCAAGAGCCATTGGAGCATTTTATTTTTTAATTAGAAAAAGTGCCAAATGCAGGATTCGATTCCATGTCGTTAGCGGTCATATACCAACAGTTTAGACCAACCTCCCACCGACCCCTTAACTCAACACCCTAATAGGACTGAGTGGAGATAAGAATGAAGACAATTCACAGGATTATGATAATTTGTGAAGGTGATGATAAACTATAGTGTCACTAGACAAAAACAACTTTTATTTTGTAAAATAACCTATTTATATATCAAATTGTTGTACATCACATGTTTTTAAAGATATAGGAGGGTAACTTTTCTTTCTGCAATTCACTTTGTAAATATATATACACAATTTATTCAAAAATAGGGTTAGTATATCAATATTTTAAGGGTGTTTAAAAAGAATTATGTCAGATTTTGATATACAGTAAAACCCCAATGGGACTAAACCAGTGGTTCACTGTAGCCATGGTTTGTTATAGCCATAGTTTACTGTCTTATAAACTGGGGATTATTTCAGGTTTGTTATAAGGAAAGGTTCGCTATATCCCAGGTTTGTTTTAGCGGGGTTTTACTCTATTTATTTTTAAATATAGAAAATTTTTCTTTAGATTAGCACATTATTTTTGATTATTTTTATTTATATAAATTATTTACAAAACTTTAAAATATATTTCAGTTTTGAAATTGGCATTGTATATACAGTAGAACTTACCTCCCTGTAAAGGACAACACCTAATTGCAGAACCAAAGTGTACTTTAAGGAGAGGTGTCCTATTACCGGAGAGTTGATAAATAGTAAAAATGGTAATTTTGGCAATGAAAGCTGCCTTTTGTAGAGAGATGTCCTCTAGCGTGAGTGTCCTCTCATGGAGGTTCTACACTGTATATAGTTATTTAACATTGAACAAATTGAAATAATGTTACAAATTGAGTGTTTTTTTTTTAAAGTTAGGTGTTTTAAAAAAATGTGTGAATTTCAACTATGTGAAAAAAATTTAGATTTATAAGAGGGCGTGAAAAAATAGTACCGCTGGAGACCAGGACTTACTCAAGAACAGAGAAACTGAAGAAGGTGGTTATTTAAGAGAGAGGATCACTTATAGGTGAGTTGCTCACAGGAAATTTAAAGGTACAGTAGAACTACCTCCCTGTAAAGGACAAAACCTAGTTACAGAGTCAAAGTGTCCTTTAGG